TCTAAAAAGACGGCCAATATGGCCGATATTGCGCTACCTATCCAGTAGATGGCGCCAGCTTTAAGAACTCGTGTTGTGTGGCTCCACTCCTTTGAACTTTGAACACAAATTATTGTTTTGGAACTTTTTATTTTTATTTATTCTTATTTATGTTTCTTATGTGCAGTTATTTCCTGTCCAGGGTGAATAAGTTCACCAGGTTAACTTCCACAGAGTGTTCCTTTGTTACAAAGCACAAGTATTACGTTTTATTTATTGTGCATTTTTATTATTTTAATATTCTTATAGGGATCTTCTGTCCCTAAATGTGTGTGTGTGTTGTTAGATTCCCCAGAGTTAGCCAAGTCAGAAAAACCATGTTGTAACCAGTTGTTTTAGCATAAAGCAATGGAAGGGAAGGCTTGCATCCAGGCCTACATAAAAACACTACAATGTGTGTGAATTCACTTATATTGTTTTATGCTAAACTAAGAAAACCAACTGCTGCCAGATCTTATTGGGCTGGTTATAAAATACTTTTTCTGACTTGTCTAACTCTGGGGAATCGTAACAAGACACAGTTTTACTGAGTGGTGGAATATTCCTTTAAGTGAAAATGTATTTGTGGAAACCACAGTTTACAAGAAAACACTTGAATGTTACATTTATGCTGTGACTGTGTTTGTGTGTTCTGTTGTTTCTGCTAAATAAATCTCATTTGCATTACTTGGAAACCCGAGCGAGTTATGGAGACAGTTCTTAGGTGTGTAATAGAGAAATATCTTAGCATCAAAAAGACAGAGAATGAAAGGTTTAAGCTTAATAACATTTTTATTTCTTTTTTGTGTGAGGGAGATTTATCGGCCATTATATCGGCTATTGGCCTTTGTTAAAAGTTTTATATCGGTATCGGTCCCAAAAAAAGCATATTTGTTAAAGTTCTAATAATATAATTTAAACGATTATTTCTCTTCCTTCTCCTGCTAAAATAGTGACAATGAATGCAAACTCACCACTCGGACGTATTCAAACATTTCAATAATGGCAGAGTTCATGAGATTGTAGCGGGAGCCATTATTCCGAAAGGCCTTGATGACGGGCTCAAAGAGGAAGTTTCTCATGATGTAGCGGTTGTAGAATTCATCTTTCAAGCCAATAATCCTCCTCATGAAGCGCAGGGCACCTGAGGATCAGATGAAGGAGTTAAAACAGAGCAGAGGAAAAGATCTGGTTAATCATCCATCTGTGAGGCTTACACAGTGCCAGGAAGGCGTGTTGAGAGGCAGTGAGAACCAGTACCCTCCTGAGGATATCTTTGTTGATGATGTAGTTCTTGATGTGATACGTGTGGTGCTCCACACAAAACGTTAGCAGCTCCAAAATCAGGGCAAGCAACTGGGCAGTTTGAAAATCATCTGCAAAAGAGAGCAAAGTTATTAAGCCAAACAAAAACTCTAAACGGCCCAACAATCACAAATATCTGTGGTACCTTTGCTGGGTTTCTCCTCCGTGGTGTTAGCTAATAATGGAGCAGAGAGGACATGCATGCAGTGCTTGTAGAAAAAGCTGAGGAACTCGGTCTTTTCTGTTTTCTAAAGGAGGAAAAAAATGAGAATGACAGTCAACACAAAAAAAAACAACGTTCTGCTCTCTGACACACATCAGCTAATATTTAAACTAATCTTTACTAATTTGATTATGGAATTGAACATAAAAACTATTTTCAGCTGTTCACTGCAATTAATGTGAGCAATGTTTGAATCCAGACTTGGATTATACTCCTACACACTTCATTTATAGGTAATCCAGAACATTTTCATTTATTTTTCTTTGTAACGTTTAACATAAATCCTTATTGGAGTTGCTGATATATTTGCTACTATCTTATTTAAAAGGTGCAATATGTGATCCAAACAGGTTACTGCAATCACTTTCTCGCTCCTGTTCTGTGGGTTTCACGGCTGTTTCCAGATCAGCACCAGAAGATTTTAGATAACAAGCAAAGATGAGTCAGACACGGTAAGTTGATAAATACATCGTCATATCTGGTGTTAGCACTATTGGGTGATTTACGGTAGGGAGCGCTTACCACACATATTACGGCAATATGCCTCCACCATAGAGGAAGTGTGGTTGTTTGCCGTCTTGCTGTTAGCTTGCTGTCATTGATCTGAACGACTCATTAAAGGAAGTAAAATGCCACGTTTAACTCATCAACTTCACTGGAATATTATGTTGTTGGTCACTAAAAAGTAGCTTAACGTGACAATGTGAAGTTTTTAACCATTAATCTCTGGAAATATCCATTGAAATGTTGTGAATAAATTCAAAGATGCCCGGCTGTTGAAAAATATTGGCGGTTTCATAACATATAACCATAGAAATCGGGTCTAAAATACATGGGAGTGGCACCATAATAGATGCCATGTTTCCTTCTACGGAAGCCCGTGAGGACAGAATGCATTTACTGATTTGTAACAAATGGTTACAAAACTTTCAGCATTAATAAATGTTGCTCTTTTACACATTTACCTCTTCACTCATTGCCAGTGATGAAAGGGAATCTGATGTTCTTGTTATTTTGCTGGAGGTTGCACTCCCAAGGATTTTTGACCCTAATGGCCATCCGTTGATAAGGTCTTACTTGAACACAAACATAATGCTTGCTTGCAATGATTTAGGTATCTATTGCCCCATCACCAGGAAAAAAAACACACTGTCACTTTAAGATATTTTAAGCGCTGACTATTTGCTTCGAATTCACTGTTAGCATTGTTAGCTAAACATTAGCCTCTAGCCTGCTTCAGAATCAGAAGGGGTTTATTGCCATACATGTGAGAAAACAATAGGAAATTGCCGTGGAACTTGGTGCAAAAATAAGAAATAAGCACACTAAAATAATAATATAGTCAATAATCAGAGAAACGGCTAATATATACAAGACAGAGAAGGTACTGATCAGAGCGGAACAGTCAAGTGCAAACACAGCACAGGGTCAAATGACTGAACAAAGCGACTGAAGTAGGCAGTCCTAGGACGACCCAATATTAATGTAAAGTAAAAGGATGCTGTGGCTTTTAAGGGGGTAGAAGAAATAACTTCTGGGTCGCTCTTGTTACTGGCTTTTGTCGGCCGTAGTCTAATTACAAATGCCGGCGCTGCAGCAACCTCACACTCACTGATGGTAGACCGTAGCAACGTCCCTCCTTCCTTTATTTTCAAAGGAGGAAACTGACAACCCTCACAGCCGGATGAGAATTAAATGTTTCAGTTTAACCGTCCTTCCAACATGATCGAGACATTAAGACGGTTTTGGGATTACTTCACTGTAAAATTCTTACTTTATTGTTAAAAATTGCACCTTTAAAAGCCTCCGTTAAATTACTGGACCTGGTCAAAAATGATTTTGGTTAATGACACAAAACCATACAGATTTATAGCTCTACACTGCATTTCTGACAATATGGTGGCAGAAACATTCAACAGCCATTGATGTTTTCAACCGGAGAGATCCTTCTTTCACTACATGGAGCTTTGTCTCCTCAGGGTGACGCTGGAGAACAGTCATAAATGTGTCACCACCAACATGAGTCACGCCGTGTAGGTTAACACTGGATTACTGAGATTATTTACATATTTAATTATTACCACATAATCATTAGTTGACATTTTCTACCTTTATCCTTTGAACAAACAGACTTGATAAACCATTTGAAGACTCAAACTAATATTGCCTAAAGTTCAACCCTGTAAAAGTTTTACTTAGAAGTTTTAAGTCTGATTCTTCAGTGAGACGTTTGTGGCAGAACTGTAGAATCAGTCAAATACGCCATCAGTTGTTTTTGTGTAAATCCAACAAAACTTAGTAAAAACCGCTGACATCAAAATGTGTTCTGCGGTTCTACTGAAGTAACCTGTTAGACTGGAAGAACTGATGACAATTCTTAAATTACACAGTAACTCGACAGGAAAATTTCGGGTTTTTTTCCTTCTTCTTTTGTGATTCTGCAGCATAATCAGATAGGATTTCTTGTACATTTATAGGATTATAATATTGGTCTTGTAGACCTCCTTTAACCTGCTTTCCTCACCGCTGCATCGTTTATCACTAAAGACGCATTTCTGTTTCTACTGTAACATAAGAACCCAGGAAGCAACGTTTTTAATGCTTTGCGAGAACTAACTGTCAAATGTTTGCTAGAGTGTGTGGAAACGCACATTCGCAGTAGCCAGCATGTTCTCTGGATCCAACAGAGTCCGTAGCAAGCCCATTAGCTGCACCGCTCCACCAAGTTCTGGGTCTGTATCGCAGATCATGTGTTCGATGATCAGGTTGATGAGGAGGATGTCCTGAAAAGCAGAGAAATTTTACCTTAAATCCACATCTATTATCAAATCAATATATTTGTATTTTATCTTTGAAAAGATTTACTCACGTCATCATTTTGCTGAGATTCCTGCATGACAAACTCTCGTACCATGGAGGGGTTGTACTCCACTAGATAAGAGAATATATCTGTGGCGGCCCCACGCACCTGAACGTCATCCATTCCCTGTTAGACAAAAACACAATCTGACTGAAGACAAGTGAAGAAGATACAAAATCTTGTCTTAGAAAAAAAATAAAATACAAATAAGCACATTAGGGTGAAAAGAACCAACTAGATTTCAGGCTTTAGGAGACCTTTTATTTGAGCCAACACTTGTAGATGCTTTTTACTGCAGAAACATTAGCTTTAGCATTGGTGCTAAAGACCCTCCATTGGTCCCTCTCGTCAGGGACTTAGGCCACATTATGGAGATCAACCTTACTAAGGAAAACATTATTAATTTTTTCTGCTCAAGGGAAGAAATAACCATTAAAAACTGCTCCAACAATGAGCTTACACCAATAAAGCCGTGGAGGAATGTTCTCACTGTTTTCTACATGTACAGCAGACATGTTTACATCATTTATAAAAAGGTGCATGCATTTTTAAAGACAACAAATGGTTTCAAACCAAAATCACATTTTACTGAGCTTTCACAGACACTGCTAGCTAAGCCACCATTTACTCTATGGACTGGTAGCATTGATATATTTTACCCACCCACATCTGTAACCTACTCTCAGAGAGAAATGTTTTTCTCACAGCAAAATGATCGGTTTGTGTTTTATTTGCTCACACAGAACTGAGCAAAAGTGTCTTTCGTTCGCTCTGCTCTTTCTTCATGGAGAAGGCTGCAGGAAAACTGGAAATTATCTGAGCTCATCTGCTTGAATGCATTTAAAACCAGACTGAGAACACGTCTGTAATTTTGTATACAACTTTAAATGTGTAACTGGGTCATTTTGGTACTGTCTTGCTGCCTCTTGGCCAGGACTCCTTTGAAAATGAGGTTTTTAATCTCAATGGGACTTTCCTTGTTAAATAAAAAAGACACAAAAATAAACAAATGAAATTGTGTAATTATTAATCTGTGCAGAAAAACTGTTCAAATGCACCGTCTTCATTTGAGTAAAACTTTCAGAAGACATATTTAGAGACGTGATGGCAGCGGAAAAGCAAGCCGGTTATTTTCCAGTTCTGGCTAAACTGACAGAAAAACTAACCATAAACTGGCTTTACAACCACATTGTGAAGAAAAAGAAATGAGATTCTTGAGAAAATGTTGAATTGTTAGGTTAGATGTGTCACTAAGAAGCAAAAGATGCATTTTTAGGGAATGACTGCTGGGTTCAAGACATAGTGCTTCACAGCTGGTGGAAATGAACCAATCCACCATAACGACGGCTAACTGCTGCTAACTGCGTTTACACGTCCAGTGGAAAGGTCCGGTCAGAGTTTTATTTCAGGAGTAAAATGGACACTAAAGAACACAAACAAGAGAACTATCACTCCAGCATGAACAAAAGATCAAATCTAAAAACCAAAATATAAAATTTACTGACCAGAACAGACACTCGTGACACGTAAAGCCACAACAGTATCTGACAAGAGTTGCGAGAAGAATCCACCCAAAGACTACAATAGTCAACGCTATCCTAATTACATTAATAAATCCTCTGCAGCTGTAACGCTACACTCAGAATATGCCACCAGTCAGTTGCTTTACATATTTTACAGCCAATGTATTCCAAGTCTCTGCTTCATTAGAACAAGTTCCAGTTTTCAGTTTTCACACTGGAGGGGGATTCAGAGATTCCTCCATGTAAAGGTAAGCATCCCTGCCCAAAACGCCACATATTCCATTTTTTTCCTTCTAACTGAACTCACCAGTATGACCTCCAGTGCAGGAAGAATGCCCATGTTTGACAACGTCTTGAAGAAGGCGTCTCTGTTTTGAGGTTGTAATGTTTGCGAGAATGCACAGAACTCCTTTAGGAAGTTTACCTAAACAAGATAAGAAAACACAGCTGTATGAAACAAAGGATGAGATGATTATTAAACTGAACAACCGACAGAAGAATGTCAAAACTTTTCTCTAACTAAAATCTGGCGTACCAGTTCTTGTCTTTTGTTGTCGTCTGTAGCCTCGTCTGTTAGCTGTGCAAAGAGGTCTGTCAAGAACTTCTCATCATCCTGACATTGTAAAAAAGGAGAGATTATAAAGAGAAAGGGAGTCTGAAGAAGACAAAGGAAATTTTATTTTGTCTTTCCAAAATGTCAGAAATCCTTTAGATAAAATGTTTAACTGTAGGCCGATATTTTGCTGTGTGTTCAGTTAGTTAAAAAAAATAAACATATTTATAAATATTTAAATCTGAGCTTTTTAGGAAAGAGGGGAAAGTCTGTTGCTGTTGCCTGACATCAAAACACAGTCACAGCGTGTCAGAGTAAGCAGTTGGCCCATTTCAGTTTTCCCGTAACGCAGCCTGATTTACACAGCACTCCTCCGTCTCCATGGAGACAGCCATACATAAACACTGCTGAGTTGACACACGACACAGTGCGAAAACACAAAGGTCACATGATCATAAAAGATAAAACAATCTCACACTGGTTAAAGCAATGGGTTAATATAAGTATTTGGAAACAAATAAACACCACTTCTCACCTGTAGCATGCCCACAATCTCCACCTTGTTGAAGAAGATGAAGGAGTGCAGGGTGGACAGCATGTTTTCCTCGAAAACAGAGGGTGTTGGCAGAACCATATCCTGAATGTACTGCACGCGATATGTCTGATGTATTTTCTGACGCAGTTCAGGATCAGAAATGGGAATCACCTCTTTAAATCGGGCCGTCTTTGTGAGAAACTCTCGATGCCGCCGTGGCTGAGGCAGCGCCGGATCAAATTCCAGGCAGCCAATGACATCCATGATGCACTCATCCGAAAACATAACCTCAAAGAGTGCAGTGCGATTCAGCAGGAAGATGCCTTTAATTATTTCGTACAAATGTTGCAGTCCTTCTCTGTTCTCCAGTTCCTCACACATACGAAACAGTTCCAGAAGCTTGCGAATGTAGCCTTCATTCTCCACCGCCAGTGCTAGTTTCTCACGTCGCAAAGGTGACGGGAGAGAAGAAGCCACCAGCTCAGCGAGGTCCTCCAAGCGGTTTAATTCACACGGTGGCAACTCAAGACCTGGCGATGACATTTCATCAAACCGCTCCTCCTCAGACTCATCCACCACCTCTTGCGTGATGTCCACTGAAGGGTCCTTTCCCTGCACCTTAAAACAGGAAAAGGAGAAATGTTTTTGATCCATAAAATCAAATGTCCACGCTCACAGATGATTTAATCTAACCAATAATAATCAATACATTTGCAGTGGTCTGTCGTAGGTATGAATGCCTTGTAAATTGTGCTCGGGGGAAGAAAAACACAGGTGCACCATTTTCAGGAGTTAGAAGTGAGCCACTTCACAGCTGAGCTTTAGACGGCAGGTTTTGGAGTTACTTCCTGATATTTGGACATCTCGCCTCTGACTGGATAACAGCAACGCGACTCTACCACTGACTTGCAACACTGATGTTTTACCCCACTAATAACACAAGCCTGGAAGAGTTCTGCTTTGTGGTGGAGTTTCTAATGCTAATGGTTAACTTCTACAACATTCTCTAGAGTTTCCTGGACGCTAAAGCCCACAACAGCCTTCCCATTGCAAATCACGATGTCAGTGTGACGTAGATCTGCCAGGCTTTTAAAATCCCAGCATTTTGCCGTTTATTTTCTATCAGAAGCTAAAGCAGGAGATAGGTGTAGCAGAATATTTTCATGTTCAGCCTACACGAAAAACTCAGAGTGACTGATTATTAGGGGTGTAACGGTTCATGGGGGAGTGTTGAACTGTTCTGGTTCGGCCTATTCGGTTTGGTCCACCTGCGTACTGTTTTGGTTTGGTTTTTTTCTGTTAATTAATGAATTTTTATTTGTGTGATTTAAGTTCAGCAGGTAAAAGTTCCTAGGAGTTTCCGCAGGGATGATGTATTGAGTGACGCATGATTGCTGCGTGCACCCGATCTCCGTTTAAAAAATGTGATCTCCAAATTCTGATCAGCGCCTTTCAGAGCAGATCAAACCAGCTTGCAGCGCTTGGTTGCAGCTCTAACCAGTCAGCCAAAGGGATATCCCAGGAGCCAAGTAGCCAGGGAGCATGATCAATCGGGATACAGCGACACTCACCCTGCCAGGTCTAGATGTGGCAGGGTGAGCGTCCTGTCACTGTGTCCCGATTGACCATGCGCCCTGGCTACTTGGCTACTGGGATATCCCTTTGGCTGACTGGTTAGCGGCGTGACTCTAACCCGGGAGTCTGGGGATCGAATCCCGCCTGGGCCCTCGTTTCTCCACCTTGCCACACAAAGTTTTCATCCTACAATAAAAAAATACAGTGCGAAGGAGTTTTAAAGAAGAAACTCTGGGCGGTGTGAGGTGAGTTTTTAAGGCTCGCTTCAGAAATAAAAACATGGAGCATCAACAGTCAAAAACAACATTTGTCTGTAGTGGTGTTGTCACGGTAACCGGTGTAGCGGTAAACCCCGGTAAAAAAGTTGACAAGAATGATAACCGTCTTGTTTTTTAAAATATATATTATCTCAGTGGATTACTGTGGATGCGGTGTAGGCGCAGTGACCCTTACCAGCCACCGTATCATCTGCTGAAGTTGCCGGTGGCACATGCGCGCTTTGTTGTTTACAACCAAAACTTTCATGAAGCTAAAGCTGAAATAATGGTCAAAGGAGGAAACGGCAGCGCTCAGGACATTTATTATCCCTCAAAGAAGACAAACTGGGAAGCCTGTGCCTTTTTTGGATATTTGAAGAATGCCGAGGGACAGTTGATAAAAGACGGCTATCCTGTTTGCAGCACGTGCAGAAAAAGTGTCTGTGAAAGGCAGCAGTGCTTCAAATCTCATGACACATCTACGTGACCATCACCCACAACTCTACAGTCAACGCAAGGCAAGCTAACGTAAGCGTTTTAGCTAAAATGCGTGATCCGAGGATTTGGGTTGAGGGAGAATGCAACGAGTCGCTATATAAAGCAGCCGCAGCGCCGCTATCTGCATATAAACCGTGTCGCGGACACCTCCATATTGAAATGATGCTATGCATTACGGGGCTCCCAGGGGTAGATAAGAGTTGGTCTCTCTCCGAGAATAATTATGAATTTAACAATGATTACTGCCTGATGACATTTTCCCACATCTGCAAAGCTCACTAGAAGGACACAATATTTTCCTGATATACAGGGTTTATTTAGTTGTCTGAAAATGTAACACGTTTAAAAAAAATACCGCGATAATACCGAAAACCGTGAAAATTTTTGTCACAATAACCGTGAGGTTAAATTTTCGCACCGTGAAAACCCTGGTCTGTATGAGCGTGACACTCATAGCTGCGCAAATAACCTGTGAAATAATTAAAGACATCACACTAGATCAGCAGTCTGTGATGACACCTGGTTCTGCTCACTATAGGATATTAAATAAATATAATATACCGAAAATAATCGAACCGAGCTCTTCAAAACACTGATCCGACATAAATAAAATTTTAGCGTACTGTTACACCCCTACTGATTATAATCAGTAACAATCATTATAAATGGTTTTTCAGTGTCCCACGCTGTTAAATCAGATTCAATAAATTATACGATTTTGATGGGAAATGTTTCCTATTGCATCAGATCTTTCTGATTCAATCCCACATCCTTTACACGCATGAGGTAGCAAGTGACAGAGCAGATCAAAGCTCTGTGGGATAGACTTTAACATAAAAAAAAACAAAGTGCAGTTACCTGGCATATTTTCTCCCAGATTTCATCACATCCAGCCTTCTCCTGGAAGCTCAATGCCAAGTCGTAATTTTCAGCCTCTGACCATACTATCAATGTATCCTACAGGGTGAAAAAAACAATGTATTTACCACACTGTCACATTTTTTACTCGAGTAGAGAACACCATGCTATCTGCTTACCTGTTGCTTCTGATAGGCTGTGTTTGGGTTGATTTTGGACTCCAATAATAACGACCCTGTCAGGTTAAACACAAATGCAAAAAAGAAATGAAACAGCATGCATCGTGTGTTATTTATTGCCGAACAACTAGTAACCCTGAATTGTACAGAGGTGTTCCTGTTGTTTACCTACCATCACTCTCTGCTCGCACCAGAAGAGAAGTCCCCCTCAAACGTTCCACATAGCCCGAGGAGACGTGTCCGGTCCCACGATCATCCCACTGTCTGTCCTCGTTGAGGGTATAGACTTTGACTCGTCTACGAGTGTCCGTCATCCTGGCAGGTGATTGTGATCCCGAACTTCTTGGGTCTTACAGGGCGTGTGGCTCACCTAGTAACGCCACAACTTCAATTTACTTTTATCACCCGTTTAACTTTTCAATGCAGTTCTGACAACTTTTCAGAGGGCTCGACCTTCGCTTTGAATTAGCGTCAAAGTGGAAAATAAAATAGAAAATGGGGACGCTGCACGTATAACATTTACTTAGTTTAGCCGAGCTGCCCCAAAACTTATCTGACCATTGGTGCAGGCAGAGCGCCACACAAAAACGGCACAAACCATTTTAGCAAAGTAACGACTGTCTAATTAACAAAACCAAAAATGCTACATTAACCGACAAAACAGCGACTGAAAGACAAAACAGAGCCCAAGCTAATATATGAAATGTTTCTATTTAAAACAAGTTCCGCTGTTTCAACTGAGATTATAAACACAATGCCTTCTTGTTGGTACAGTTTGTACGCTTGCAGGTAACGTTAGCCAGAGCTACGCCAGCTAAAAAACTGAACCGAACTAGCCCCAGAAACAAATTTAACCACAACTCAGCCCCGATATCATTATTTCATACTTGCAGACAGAAAACACCGATTCAATTCAATACCAGCGCTTTAACTTTTCTTTAAATAATACGACAGCTAACTAGCATTAGCTTGTATTTCTTCCCCAAGTATTCCGCCATGTTCTGGCTCGGGGCCGCGGAGAGACCTTTCTCTCCCTATTCATATTCAGGTTTCCTAAAAATAAGCAGGCCAACAGACTGGAGTAAAACAATTACTTCAAAGCTGCGCTATACATTATATTGTTATTTGCCATTCATTCCAGACGTCTTGCTATGATAATTGCTATGTGCCCCTTTGAGTTTTCAGCCATCTTGGGTCCCTTCTAAATCAGTACGGGGTTTCCAGCACAGCAACAGCACAACAGGGCAGCCCGCCGCATTTAAAGAGACAGTAGCACAAAAAATACGGTCCAGTTTACTCACATTTTTGGCCATACTCAAATACAGTTTCATCACACTCAACAAAAAGGCCATAAAACAATAATTTCGGGATTTTCACAATTAAGTGACCTTTGCATTGCCAGAATCTTTACTATCACAAAAATAATTTTGTTTTAAAAATACTCGAATAGCCAAAAACATTAATATTGACTCAATTTAGTCACTATTTAAATATTTGCTCCTCCTTACTTCCAGTATGTTTTCCCTCCATTGAGAAAAACCAAGTTTTCCTGCAGAATTATGCACTGGTTTGTAAGAACTACATACTACATACATAAAGTGAACAATAAGTCAGAAAAAACAAACAATTGTTTATTTTGTGAAACTCATCAAAACAAAACAAGTAAAAAAAAATCTGCCATTACACAAAACAACAAAAACACAATTTCCACCATAGCAGTAGGTTCAATATATATGGGGAAAAAACAATAACGGATGAAATGCAGAATTTTTTTTACTTCCTGGATTTTGACAAATCTTAACCTTAACCTAGTTCTACTTCAAAAGTAAATGCATTTAAAGCCCACAGTACAAAAAGAAAAACCCTCTACCCACCCCACATATTGTAAAACCTTTCTGCAGACATAGATCTCCTCGGTTTAACGGACATCCACCTCATATGTGTAACAATTTAGAAAATTGTGTATGACAATGAGATTGTGCCAAGCATAAACCATCTACAGTATAAAGCCCAAATTTCCTTATCTCACCCCATCTTGCAAACCTGCTACTTTTCTAATGTATAGTATAATACAAAACCCCTCTCGTCAGAGTGAAAATGTTGTCCTTGTACACAAATCTATCATGTTCTCCAATTATAGATCTCTGTTGACTCTTCAGGTGAGTGTAGCAGGACATGTCAAAGATGACTTTACTTTGCTGCTTGTTGGGCCTGACGCCGCAGCAACACGTAGATCTTCTCCTTAATCCAGTCCTTGTTGTATGGCTGGTATGTCTGAGTATCAGCTCTGTACCTGCAATAAAAGTAAGAAAGGGTCTTGGAGAAATAGTTGGCTCACAAACTCTTTTGAACTCAAATGTATACTTACACAAGACAGCTCAGATCTGCCAAGTCATCAATGAAGTCAAACAACTGACTGATGTCGTAGGTAATGGATGGGCTGTTGGGATTCATCCTTTTCAGATGCTCTTCATACATTTTGCAAACACCTGGAAGAGAGGAGCAGGACAGGCTGCAATTGTCAATGGGGTGATAAAGGACTGAATAGAAAAGAAAAAAAACAAGAATATAGGGCTGGGCAATAAATAGAAAATGTATCGTTATCGAAATTCCTGACTCTTATCGTGATAATTTTTCCCATGTCAATAAATCTGAAAATAAAAAAATGAAAAGACGTGTGCAGGTTGGCAGCGTTCATGTCCCTTTAAGAAGCTGTACCACCTTGAGTCACATAAAAATGTGACTTAACGCGATACATTTGACAGCCCCATCTAGTGGACGACTTTTGATTCTGCGCACACCTGTAGTTACCGTCCACGTATCGTTATCGAGGTGAAATCCTCAAATGATGATATTAAATTTAGGCCATATCACCCAGCCCTCCAAGAACCTAACAATGATCATGGAGATCGTAAAGAACCATGTTTGTCAATGGGGAGTTATGAACTTCAACTATTAAATGAGAACTTCTTCAAAAGTCCTGATCTTGATTCACAATGAGACATCACGACACAAATTGTGCGCAGGTGTAGATACCGGATCTGCTCGGGTCCTGCACTTGCCGATGATGTCACACTTCAGCAAATCCACCCCGCACACACATCGATAACGATAGGAAAGAGTTTAGCAGTTTTGTTAATGAATTCTTGTTTCTTACCATCTAAATGTTTTATTTATAGTTGTAATTTGTTAAAACACCATAATGTCTTTGTTTACCAAAGAATGTGAAACTACATAAAATAAACATCAGACTGCCAAAAAGCACAACAGTTTTTATGTGAAATATTTTAAATTTACATAATTAGCCAGTTTCGTTTGTATAAATACGGAATTGTTGTTTATTTTGTTAATTCTTATGTAAATAAATCCATTCATTTTAAGTCATTTTATTTTGCCCTCTTTTATCAAAATCAAGAGCCGCCAAGGGTCTCCGTTTATAAATTGGTATTTTCGCTTTGATTTTACATTTCCTTTGGTAATACAAAACACATTTTCATCAGAAAGTGTTTGTGGACTACAGGACTCCAACTGCAAGGACTACAATCGCAAATATGTTTGGACCAATCAAAATATTTAATGTCAACGTGCGAACGTAACTTTTATGAACGTGGTATCGTAACAGCCGTAACTCCTACGTTAAGCCAATCATCTAGTGTGACGTCCTCAACAGGCACAGGACCCTGAGCCGATCTGACGCAGCCCAAACAGATCAAATACCTACACAGGAATCATAAGCCCTTACACACTAGCATCAGCTCCACTCCGCCTGGACCGGGTTGGAAGTTTTCTCATTTAGGTAGCCCGGAATTTTTCTGAATACAACTGGATGTTTTTTCAGCCCTCAAGGTCTGCCTGGAGCCTAACAGGGTAGACACGCCCACTGCTAACTGATTGGCTGGCTCAAAAGCATGCCTACTGTTAGGGGGAGCCTCCGACTGGCGAATAGAATCAGCCTACGGGAGCTTCCTGCATGCACGATTTATTATGTTCTGGATGCTGTGGAGTTAATGAGCCACTGACTGAAGTCGTCTTCCTCTGTCCCTCACCGCTGTGAGGAGGCGCGCACGCGCACACACACCCTATCAGAGTCTCCAAAAGCAGGACTGCCCACTCTTGTTTAATAATGGAGACACAGCGGACTCGTCGCTCTGTTTTGCCACGCCCACGTGCTCAGAGATGTGCTCATAACGTCACAGACTGCCAAGGCAGGGTGGAACGAACGTGGCCGGGCTAGGGCAGGCGGAGCCGATGCTAGTGTGTAAGTGGCAATAATAAAAGAAGACTGCCCATGTAACTGCCTGATGCAAAAGTACTAAAATGTAAAAAAATCCATCAAATATGGCTTTTCTAATTGCCCTACACAGGGAACTTGGCTTCTCTGTCACAATTCATCCAAACTTTCAAAGAAGAGCCCACTTTGACTCAACAAAGTCTAATCAGCGAATTGGGGGGACAAATCAAAAACAAGTCGTTTTCAACATGGAACAAAAACATCCACCGATCCATCTTCATGTCACGGGGGGAGCAGTAGCCTAAGCAGAGAGACCCAGACTTCGCTCTCCCCAGGCCAGCTCCTCTGGGGAATTCCCAGCATGCCCTGGGTCTTCCTTTAGGTC